ATTTATAGCGTGCATGCATGCGCGAAGAACACAAAATTACAAGGACTTTGAAGGACAATTAGAGAAGGAATGCCTACGCTCTGCATGGCCCAATCGCGGCGTGGGGGACGTAGCCACTCTCCACACATCGATTCGATCATGCAGAGCGCGGCTACCAAAACTCAGCGAAAAGAAAGAGAAGGAGGGCGGGAAAGGAGAAGCACAAGAAGAAAAGATACAGTTACAATGGCGCCCGCCCAAAATTACAGTTACACACACGATTGAAGGCGCCGACTAATCAGAATTCCGTTGCATCCCGTGAAGAAGCGCGTAAGCAAAAAGGCGCTGCGCGACAAACGAAAGTCCTAATTGCAAAATTTTGAAATTCCTATCTAATGCGGAAAAAGCAGAAAGCACGAACTCCGAAAAAAAGTCCGAATTTCCGAGAGCCGTATAGGCTCGACAAAACCTGAAAAGGATTTCAAAAAGAACAAAGCAAAATTCCCGCGCGATGTCCACGCCTAGAAGGTCCCGAAACCAAAACAAAAGAAACGACGTCAACATTTATTAATCGCGCGCATGTCCGCGCGCCAGCCATTCAACCGACCAATCAATCGATCATCCCGGGACACGCCCAGTTCCGAACCCAGCCATCCGAAAATAATCGACGCAAAAGACGAAGAAGCGAGGGTACTGATGCAATTTTCCCATCCATCCCAATCTCCCGTAATTGGCCCAGCCTTCCCAGCTTAGGACCCCCTCATTGCAATTGCGCAGGAAGTCGCGCGCTACAGAAAGTGGTTCGTCACATATCATCCTTGCACAGGGGCCGCTAATCTTTGCTCTCTGTATTGTTCCAATTTTAGTGGATTTCCCGAGGGACAAGAATGATTGCTTTGGCACTGTTCTTCTCTTTTGTCCTTTCCTGTTTTTTTTTTTTTTTTTTTTTTTGAAAAAATTGCAAAGTGACCCCTGACGTTTGCGTATATGCTAAAATACCCCTAAAAAATGTGGGTAGAACGAAATACGCCTTTGAAGTTGTCAAAAGTTGGTCAATGCCCTTGTGGATTTAAACATTTGTGTTCGTCTTTCAGGACATCCGTCAAAACTGGAATGATGCAGAGAAGGTTAGCGTGGCCCCTGCTGAGATGACAAGAAAAAGTAAAAAACTTAAAAAAAGGAAAGAGAGAAAGAAAGAAAGAAAGAAAGAAAGGACACCATAAAAAAAGGAAAAAAAGAGGGGAAAAAGAGAGAAAAAGGGAAATAAAATTTTGCATTCTATCCCTGTGAGGCGGATGGGGAAATTTGCGTTCTGCCCCTAACAGGGGTACAAGGCAAAGTTGGCAACCCCCGGACGAAGGTGTACTGCAACGATTTATATCCAGAAGGGCATTTCACAAAGTTGTCAAATGTCAGAGGGGTATTCCGCTCGACCGACATCTTGTAGGGGTTTTTCAGCATATATGTGAACTTTCAGGGGTATTTGAACGTATTTCACAAATTCGAAAATTTCCCTGTTTTATTTTGAAAAGTTGTGATTATTTCCTGATTTGTGCGTGTCATCCTTACACAAGGGCCACACTAATCTTCTCGGTATCATTCCAATTTAGACGAACAACAACACGCAACTCGTTTCATTTCGCTGCCCCCACACAACCGTGCTAATTTGTGATGGAAAAAAAAAAAAAAAAGAAAAAAAAAAGATTCCCTGGGTCTCTGATGCTTGTCTTTCGTGGGACCTCACAAGTCCCCGGGCCAGCTGCAGGCTCGACCAATTCATAAACCTTAAACCCTAAACCCTAAACCCTAAACCCTAGGCTGTGAATCCTAAACCTTAAACGCCGCTATATCTTAAACCCCTAACTCTAAACCCTAAACCCTAAACCTTAAACCCTACTTAATGCTTGTATTTCGCCTTGTCTTGTGAATGTGGAAGGAACTATTTATGTCCCCCTCCCCCCACCAAACTCTTTAATGTCCCTTCCTTCAACCCCCCTCCCCCCACCGAAAACGCAAAAAGAGAGCTCATGAGATGTAATTCCTTTCGGATTTGTGGACTCGAGAACATGATATGTCATCACAGCTCTTGAGATGTAATCCCTTCCAGATGGAGCGTGGACTCGAGAACATGATGCACGGTCTAGATAGCTGTACTTGGGTCAACTTTCAGTCTAGATACAGTGATAATGACCATGCCATCTGTTTGGGGTGAAGACTGATCCTCAGGATCAGAACTGCCAGGCAACCCAAGAACAGCAAATCATGAGGCGAAAAATTAAGAAAAACAGAAAAAAGGGGAAAATAACAAATCATCAGACAAGAAAATAATTCACCATGGCATGCAGACCAGAAAAATATTAAGAAAAACAGAAAAAAAGGGGAAATTACTAGCGAAGCCAACTTCATGTTCGCGAGTTGTAGGCAGCATTCTGTTCTAAGGTCATGCAAATGGATCGACAGCAGCTGAAGGAATTGGGAGCATCTGCCCAACATCCATTCATGGGTTTACCTCCGATTCTTACTCTAGCTGATGCTTATATATGATTACTCTCCCTCGCCACCCGGCATATGCCTCGGGCGAAGAGCTCCTTTCTTTTTTTTTTTTTCTTTTTTTTTTTGAACCTATTGACCTCAGAAAAGCTGCCTTATGTGTTGTGCTTAAACCACCAGTACCCCAACCATATGTCTGCTGCGGGAAAAAATAAAGCAGAACCGTTTCCACTTTATTAAATTTGGGCGCTCCGGTCCAGGCCCGTTCATCCGAGCACGCCGCGGCTCATATATTGCCGCAATTTTTTTTTTTTTTTTTTTTTTTTTTAATTATTATTATTATTTTTTTAGGCCGCGACTTTCGGAGGTACTGGTGGTTTAAAATATCTAAGGTATTGTTTGTAATGGTGAGGAGCGGTTACCTCGGGGATCCCAGAAGTGTGTTGGTTGTCCTTGACCTTGTCGGCTAACCCCCCTTGAATGCTAGGGGGGTAACCTAAGGCTGAACAATGGGGCTCCCTGTTAACCACTTGTGCAACCCTTAGAAGTTAAGAGTGCACACTAGAACTGACCACTCTACGGCGTTCTAAAAACGCCCTACCCCCTTGATGTACCTGGACTCAGCTGGAGTCCACATACATCCAGGGGCGTACGGCATTTTCACCCCCTGGATGTATGTGGACTTTTGCTAAGTCCAGATACATGGAGGGGGTAGGGCATTTTCAGAACGGCCTACCCCCTGGATGTATCTGGACTCAGCCCGGAGTCCACATACATCCAGGGGGTATGGCATTTTCAGTATGCCGTACCCCCTGGATGTATGTGGGCTTTGGCTGAGTCCAGATACATCGAGGGGGTAGGGCATTTTCATAACGCTGTACCCTAAATTTCATCAAATTTTGGCCACGGTTTGGATTTTCAATTTCGTTCAAAAAGTAAAAATGTCCGTTTTGACGAAATCGCTGTTCTTGTTGTTGGTGGTTTAAACTTCCAAGTTTTAACCATCACTTTACCGGAGCCTATTTGCGATAAACTGCTACCTTTTGAGGCTCGCAAGCATCCAACTTTATCTTTTCATAGTGGCCTGCCCAGGACACTACCCTAAACCCTAAACCCTGAACCCTAAACCCTAAACCCTGAACCCTGACCAGGCTCAAAGCAGTATGCTCATACCGACTCCGAGTCTTACTGCGTGCGCCCGTAAGAGCTGCCGGGCTTAGCTTCAGGCTTCAGCTAAACGTTTTTTTTTTTTTTTTGGCAAAGGAGCTCCAATCTATTCAGCCTAACTGCTTTTCGAACAAGGACAAAATTATATTCATCGGGTTTTTCTAGTTTTAGCCGCTCCTATGGTTAAGATGTTCAATCTGTTTTTACGCCATCCTATTTTTGATCTGTCGGTCATTTTAGGCCTTGCCACACCACACACCAAATGAGAAAAAGACAAAAACTATGGCGGGTGTATCTTTCCATGTTCTAGTGAACTATGCATTCTCATATGCCACTTTTTGTGACTGGAGCCACAAGGCTCATTGGCATAATAGGTACGCTGACTGTGATTGTGTTTTTTCAACTTTTTAGTCCAGCACAGCTGCTACACTCGATGTGAGCCCGAAGACAGAGATTCTGAAATGTATGGCATTGTGCAGACGATGATTTTGCGGAATTTTTGCCTAACTCAATAATCTGCTGTGAAGTTAGAACGAAAGAAATGATGAGGCTATTCTTAAGTCATTCGATTTGTAGCTCCTTCTGCACTCTTGTTTTTTTTTTGTTTCCCCCCCCTCCCCCTCCCCCCCCAGGGCGGGGGGGGCCTGACATGTCTTGGCCTCTTGTGGTGCTTGTTTTCTTCCCTATCAAATCCACATCTGTGGTGTTTTCCTTTCTCCTATCAACATCCCTTTCTCCCTCTCTCTCTCTCGCCCCCTCCTGTCCTGACTCTCCCCTTCACCCGCTCTCCTCCTCTCCCCCTCTTTGGTACTCTTTGTCTTTCTGTCCCTCTGCCCCTCTGCCTCTCTGCCTCTCGCTCTCCCTCTCCGTCTCCCTCTCCCTCTC